TGAGCCACCGCGCCTGGTTCTAAATGATTTCTATTTCCTGTAACAATTTGAAATTACTTAAAGGTTGTTTCAAATTGAAAAAAATAAAAAGAATGTAGATAAAAATAAAATATAAAAAGTTACAAAATTACAAGAGATTATGAAATATATGTGCAAATCTCGAGCTGTCAAAAGTGACAAATTTGATTTATGTATAAGGTTTTATTAAAATTAGCTTTAGTATTGATAATACATTATCAAAGTAAAAGTTGATTTTCTCTTGAACCAACATTTTATGTATTATTAATATGACAGGAAAATACTTCTGTTCACCTTTTGAACACATTGAAAAAGAGAGTAAAAAAGATATAGAATTTCCCATACTCCCGGCCGGGCGCGGTGGCTCACGCCTGTAATCCCAGCGCTTTGGGAGGCCGAGATGGGCGGATCACGAGGTCAGGAGATCCAGACCATCCTGGGCTAACACGGTGAAACCCCGTCTCTACTAAAAATACAAAAAACTAGCCGGGTGCGGTGGCGGGCGCCTATAGTCCGAACTACACGGGAGGCTGAGGCAGGAGAATGGCCTGAACCCGGGAGGCGGAGCTCGCAGTGTGCCGAGATTGCGCCACTGCACTCCAGCCTGGGCGACAGAGCGAGACTCCATCTCAAAAAATAAAAATAAAAAAATAAAAAGAATTTTCCCATACTCTAGAGTGGGCCTGGCTCAGCTCAGGGAGGAAGCCCTGCCTGAAAAGGCTGCAGCTTTCATCCTTCAGCCCAGCCTCTGATCACATCTTCTGTCACTCAGGTGCTGAGTGGGCGGGGCCTTAAGCATTATCCAATCAGGGACGGTGGGCTGGAAACCGTCCAATCAGGCAGGCAGCTGGAACAAAGAGGACGGCTTCCGGGTTTGGCGGGGCTTTTGTCTTTGGCTGCATGCGGAGCTATAGGTTTCCTCTTCACTACTCTGTGTCCTCTGCTCCTAGAGGCCCACCCTCTGTGGCCCTGTGTCCTGCAGGTATTGGGAAATCCATAGCCAAGATGCCGGGACGCCCTGGAAGCCTAGGAATGGTGAGAGTGCCGGTTGGACATCCTGAGAGAGGGGAGGGACTGGTTGATGGGAAGTGGCTGTGGCGGCACTCAGGCCTGCCCGAAGTGAGCTGCACAGTCTGCTCCCTGAGTTCTTGCCCAGCTCGGCCTCAGTCCCCTCCAGCCATAACATGGCTGCGGCGCTGTCAGCCAGTCCAGGGCTCCTGTCTCTTCCCTGCGCAGTGACTGTGCCCTGGCCTAGCGCCCTCTGGGCAGCAGCTCTGCACCCGCAGCTCCGGGTCTCTCCCAGATTGTCAGGAACCACGAGGAGGTCATCAGGGGAGATATTGACTGGGGGCGCGCGTTCAGGAATGGGAAGAGCTTTGGTCCTTGGGGTTCACAGTTTCTCTTTTCTCCTGTTAAAAATTTATGGGGCCGGGCGCGGTGGCTCACGCCTGTAATCCCAGCATTTTGGGAGGCGAAGGCGGACGGATCACTTGAGGCAAAGGGTTGTCAAGGAAACTAAGTTTCTCTTCAAAGACTCAACTTCCTGGTCAAAAGTTGTAAAAGTTGTAAATCAACCCTACCCCTTCTTCCCCCTTTTCTGTTTCTCGCAAATCGCGCGTTTATCCTATTTGGGAAAAGTTTGGGTCTAGCCAACCAGGATCAGTTTAGATTGTGCGGTCTGACCTCAGCCAATAGGGGAAGGACACAAAACCAAAAACTACCTTAGGGTTAAAAACCCCTTCCTGGTCGGGCGCGGTGGTTCAGACCTGTAATCCCAGCACTTTGAGAGGCCTAGGCGGACGGATCACGTGGTCAGGAGTTCTAGACCATCCTGGCCAACATGGTGAAACCCCGTCTCTACTAAAAATACAAAAATTAGCCAGGTGTGGTGGCGGGTGCCTGTAATCCCAGTTACTTGGGAGAGTGAGGCATGAGAATTGGTTGAACCCAGGAGGAAGAGGTTGAAGTGAGCTGAGATCGCGCCATCGCACTTCAGGATGCGGGACAGAGCGAGACTCCTTCTCAAAAAAAAAAAAAAAGTAAGAATCTTAAAATTTTCTTCCTTTATGTAAACACTGTGTTTAAGTAATTTCACTGGATTTTTCAAACAGTCTCAAGAACGAAGTGAATAACACTGACACGGAAATTAGAGCTTGAACCTGGTAATTACAAGCTAAGGCTAATATGAAGCCTGCAAAAGGTGGGGTTTTTAAAAAAAATTTTTTCATTTTGACACGGAGTTTAGCTCTTATTGCCCAGGCTGGAGTGCAATGGTGTGATCTCGGCTCACCACAACCTCTACCTCCTTAGTTCAAGGGATTCTCCTACCTCAGCCTCTGGAGTAACTGGGATTACAGGCATGCGCCTTCACGCCCGCCTAATTATGTGTGTTTACTAGAGATGGGGTTTCTCCATGTTGGTCAGGCTGTCCTCCAATTCCCAACCTCAGGTGATCCACCCGCATTGGCCTCCCAAAGTGCTGGGATTACAGGCTTGCGCCACCGCGCCCGGCCAACAGGAGGTTATTAAACGCCCAGTTAGTTTTTTCTGGGGAGCCTCCCCTGCAGTTGTCCCAGCCTGCTCACCCCAGCTATGGAAGGAGCCTTTATCTTGAGAGAAGCTACAAAGCCCTGGAATGCTAGGGCCCCACAGGCAAATGCAGTTAAGATTAAGGCAGAAGGAAACTGGGAGGGTCTTACTGATAATAAAGCTATTGTTTTGAGGCACTTTTTAGACTTTTTAAGATAAAAAAGTTAGATTTATATTAAAAAATGAATTAGTATTGGAACAGGAGAAAGTACCAACTAATCATAAGTTCTCTGTGGCTTACAAAAATGTAGGCAGAAAAGGGCTTTCTTTCCTGGAGAGGAGCAAACAAGATTAGATAAAAGGTGGGAGGGGAATGGCAAATGGAGGGTGAAAAAGTCGTATTTTAGCTCAGAGAATGTCTTATCCTGACATCAGCATGTTTTTAGGAGGGATGTAAAATGGGGTTGTATGTTGACTTAGACTGAAGGTAGCTCAAAGTTCAGGAGCCTGAGGGAGAGAGATACATAAAGTTTGATTAATAAATATTTTATTTTAGGCCAGGCACGGGGGCTCATGCTTGTAATCCCAGTACCTTGGGAGGCCTAGGCAGGCCGATCGCCTGAGGTCAGGAGTTCAAGAACAGCCTGGGCAGCATGGTGAAACACGGTATCTACTAAAATACAAAAATTAGCCGAGCGTCGTGGTGGGCGCCTATAATGCCAGCTACTCTGGAGGCTGAGGCAGGAGTATTGCTTGAACCTGGGAGGTGAAGGTTGCAATGAGCAGTGAGTTGAGATGGCGCCACTGCACTCCAGCCTGGGCAGCAGAGTGAGAATCACAAAAAAAAATAAAAATAAAAAAAAAAAAAAGAAATTTGACCACTGAAGACAAATTCAGCTGATTTTTCTAATAAGAAAAAGGAGAGGCCGGGCGCGGTGGCTCAAGCCTGTAATCCCAGCACTTTGGGAGGCCGAGACGGGCGGATCACGAGGTCAGGAGATCGAGACC